AGAGAATGGCTGAAAAGCAGAGAAAAGCATGGACTTTCTGTTCTTCATAAAGAACTCGAGGGAGTAGGCCATTTCTGAATTTCTGATCGTTTTGCCGGAAATACAACAGGCATATTCATTCATAAAGCTGAACGGCAAATTTGGCACATTCGGAATACAAATAAAAAATAGAACTGTATAATTAAACTAAAATTATTATATGGTTTTTGTCATCTTCTGATTGGTCAACTTCAGATGGATCGCAAAATCGTCTCCTTCAACCGCACATACGCCACGAATTTAAACCGACAGCATCCGATTTTTTTTGACATGTTTGAAAATTATTGGGAGGACGGGAGGTGCTCGTAACGTCTCGGATCGGCCCGTAATTCTTCTCACACGGTACGAGCCGCGACCATGCAAGCATCTGCGATTTTCTCCCGAGAGAAAAAAATCACCTGCGAGCTCGTACGACAGCAAAAATCGCACCGTGTACGCCCGCCTTTAGAGCTGTTAAGACGGTAAACTAATTAAGACCTGGTTCTAAAACTTATCAGCCAAGCAGAAAAGCTAACAGCAAATGCGTTTATCTCACATATGCTTTTGTTAACATTATCAGTTAGGTTTAAGGTAGAGTGTAATGTACCCTGAAGTGTAGTGATACGTTATTTTATTATATGTAACAGCATTAAGCTTTCTGAACTCAATCGCAATATGTACAACAACCAAGGTAATAAAATGCTGCCACGTTCATCTGTTTCAGATGTCATCAAACACACTTTTGGCACAATGGGATTGTCTAATTCTTAATAACATCCTTTATTGTAGAAACATTTAAAAGAAAGGAAACGGAAACCAGATTTTCTAGTGTTTTTTTTATTTTTATTTTATTTTTTATTATCCATCTTTTTTTTTTATTTAGAGAATAATGGAAATATTTCAGTTAATACAACCTCTCTTGCAGCACTGTACAATTTCTTGGTTTTTATTTATGTTTATCTGATCACACTGGTGACTGGTATGAAGGCATAAATGCAGTCAAGCTAAACAATGTCCAGATACAATATGAATACAAAACATGTTAATGCCAGGTGTAAACTTGAGCCTCTATGACTGCTGACACAATCGCATACAAAATTGGGTTATGTAAGGGTGCTGCTAACTCAAATCCATTTATTTACTTGAAATACAGTAATAATTGGAAGTTTTGAAATTGCACTTGAATCTGAAAGATCATTATATTTCATAGTTTTTGTTTTTCATTTGTGATATGGCGTATATGACACAACACAAATGTGTACAGTTGTGCCTGAATTTGTTCATATAGTCAACTATGACATTGATTGTAGCGTTTTATTTTTTTTTAATGAGCATATGACTGACTGGTTTTAAACATTGTGTGTTCATGAGTGTGTAAAACACTTTCATTTCATTTGCGTTAAGTTCAGCACCACTATGAAATGCCATAACGAACATATGCAGATTTTTTTGTTTGTTTAATTGTTTTTTTTATCATCTCTATTCACACTGACAGCTGTTCTCACTTCTTGTTGAAGAAAGTCTCTTGCAGGCACTTAAATCATTACGATGACGTTTAGTTTAGATACACTGAAGAAATCGATCTGATTTCATCTGATTACTTGCAAAATGACAGTGCAGACAGTCGGATCTAAAAGGTTATATTTGAAAAAACATACTTGAATGCAGTGTGAACAAAGCCTAAGATGCTAAAAAAAAAAAAATCAGATTATGACTGAGTACTGATCAAGCATCAGTTCTGCTTTTTCTGAGCCAGTGAAAGAGCTATTGAGGAAAGAATACACTACTTAAGTTTAGGAATTGAAGCTATGCAGCTACAATGAGGATCAAGTTTTTAACATTTGCTTATATTTATTCAGCAGTTGTCTGCAGTTGTTAGTTGTATGTGTAACCTACTATCTTTAAACTTTTTTTTTTTTTAAACAAATTTTTCAGATCAGACAATGTCTGCTCAATTGTATTTTTTTTTTTTTACTAATAGTTGTTTTATTTGTGTTTACATTTGGGTTTATTTTGTTCAGTATAGTAAGACCTTGATCTTATCATTTCTTTGATGGATAACCATTTATTATTGTGTGAAACATTTTAAGGTTTAATTATGTTAATCATGTAACAATAATTATATAGTAGAATGTTGTTAGTGTGTTGAAGTTGAAGTGTATTTCTTTACCACTAGTGCTACCAAACAGACAAAAGTGATGTTTCTAGATAGATTTCTGAAAATAAATAAATAAATAAAAAGCCTGCTAAGCAATTTTCCCATCTGCCATTACTCAAACTAGTCAAGTTACATGTCTGTTTCAACAAACAGCAATGCTTTGATAATGTTACAGAACAAATGTTTTCAGGGAAAACGACATGAAAAAGATGTGTATATTTAACTAGGATAAGACAAAGTACTGAAAGTGAAGTAATTTTTATTTGCTAATATATTCACTGATATGGTTTGTCGAGTATGTTCACTGAAACTAGTGTGTGGTTAAATGTTCTAAAAAAGTATCAGGGTAACTGCCTCAAATATATATATATATATATATATATATATATATAAAACCACATATATATATAATTTTTTTTTTCCCTTATTTAAATGTTATTTGGTCTGATTAATAATACATGGTCAGGTTTACTCATTTGTGTGTGCGTTGATAAGATGTGTTTATTTGTATTCTTAACAACCCAAGATTAATAGACTTTTTATTTAAAGTAATGCTGTATGATAGATAGCAATACTTGAATTTATTATGGTACTTTTTGTAGAATTCCATTTCAGAAATAGGCCTAACCTTTGTCCTTGAGAGAAGTTTTTTTTTTCTTGCTTTCTTTTCTCTTGTTGGGAATGTGTCTGATTTTACTCAACATTCATACAGGTCTGACTGAGAAGCCTGTTATGGTGGCATCATCCGAGAACCCCTTAGGAGAAAAAGGTAAGTAAATGATAGAAGCAATTCTTCATGCCATGACATCATGACATCCTTGACATGACATGGCATCTAGTGTCAGATGGTGTCTGTGCATTTCAGTAGAAGTGCATATTTGGAACAATCCAAGTTTGGGGTCTGCAAGATGTCTCTGATGTCCATTCACTTTTACGCAAAAAAGGAAAAAAAAAATCTGTGCAAAACCAGGGTTCTGGCACACTAATGGCAGAAATGTCAACTGAACATAATTTTGGCGATAAAATTGATGCAACGTTGTTAGGGGAAGATTACTATTGCAGATATTAAGTTTCATGTCAGTATGCCAAAGCACCTTACAGAGATAAAGCCTCAGATCATTTTTGACATCTTGCAATGAAAATAACATAATGTTTCTCAAGATACACAAATGTCATTATGGTCTATGAAACTCATGGCAAATATGATTAATACACTGCATGGCAATTTTGTAGTCAAGCAGTATAGTTGGCTGTAGTTACAGCCAATTTTTATATTTTAATTCATTATAGCACCACCAAGTGGCCCAGTCATGCTATTTTTCTTTGTGTTTTCAGACTGACATATATAAACTTTTTGGCAGCGGCTGTTTGCACTAAGTGCAAATAGCTGTAGATTCTATTTACACTGTTAAAATGGCAATATTTTATCATGTTGAATAGCACTAATTGAAAAAATCATGCATTGCATTAGCAGTGCTTGCATTTTAATGCCTTGTATTTCCAGGGCTTGCATTGTTAGGTCCTGAAATTTAACATAGTTGTTGATTTAAGCTGTGAATATTTCAATTCAAAATATTTCACACACATTTTCATAATTAAAAATTCAATCATTCATATTCACCCTCCAGAATTCACTTCCAAAATATTCAATCTGTTTAAAAATACGATGTATAATATTCGACAGGCAAATTTTGGTCCTTTGTATTTCACTTTCCAAATTCGCTTCCACAAATTCAGTGGTTCAAATTCGGCAGAAAATTTGCCATTGCACCTCCGGGAGCTGCAGGAATAGCAGTAGAGCACCGATGCATGATCTCCAGCTGCTGTCAGTCGCTCACCAGCAGGTGGCGCAAGCGGCTGTTGATGAAGACCAAAGCAACAGGTGGATTAAGTCATTCATTCACAAAAAGTGATCTGCAGAAATGGAGCAAGCGCTAAGTAGAAGTTTTGATTATCGGAGCCAGTATAAACATGTGGAAAAGCTGCTGTGTGTTTGTTTAATTCAACATCTTCGCTGTTTCCCGTAGCTTACATGTAAGCAGCTTTCTCTACCACAAATGAGATTATAATGCTATTTTACCCAACGCTGAAGTACAGAACTAACAACATCTGCGGAAGACATATATTGCTTTCGGTTGCTTAGTTTCCATAACTTTGTATCATGGCATGAGGATATAAACGCAAGTTACGGAACGCGCAAAACTGCACGTTAAAAATTTCCCATAAAGAAAACACTTAACGAGTTTTATTGCCTCAAGACAGTGATAAT